TTGATTTTTTTAAAAAAATTTAAAAAATCGCCAACCCTGGTGTAGATTAAGAATCTGAAATCCGTTTTTGGCGGTGGGCATCGGAAATTTTTAATGGAACCTGTTCCTAACTGGACCTAACCTGCTAGGTTTTTTCTATGTTTGGAGTCCGTCCTGCGGCCGGAAAAACCTAGCCAATAGGTTTTTTCTATGTTTGGAGTCCGTCCGGTGGCCGGGAAAACCTAGCCAATCAACGAAAACCTCGCAGGTTAGGTCCAGTCAGGAACAGGTTCCATTAAAAATTTCTGATGCCGACTGCCATAAACGGATTTCAGATTCTTAATCTACACCCCCAAAAAAATGTAATTAAAAAAGAAAAACACCATTTTTTTGATGCACTTAATCTAAAGTATTACCAAAATCAGCAAATACAAGTATACTTAAGAGGAGCATGTAGGCAAAAATTTTGGATTTTGGCTTTTCCAGTTTTTAATCTACTCTTAAAGCTGACATTCTGCTCTATCCAACGGTACCATTACCATCTCTGTACATCCATTTTTAGATTAACGACACTTCATGAAAGGGGGGCGGGTGGGGGAGTTCTTTAAGTAATTAGATAGGAACTAATTAGCTGCTGAGCTCTTTAAATATAGTGTCTATTTGAGTTGTGCTGCGGTTACGTGTTTAGTCTCGTCTTAAAGCTGACATTCTGAGCTATCCAACGGTATCATTACTGTCTCTGTACGTGAATTTTGACGTACACCACACTTCATGAAAGGGGGGCAGGGGGGGAGTTCCTTCAGTAATTACATTGAGGGAAATTCGCTGCCTAGCACTACAAATACTGTGTTTTTTAGAAAGTGTAAGCCAGTGTGCCTCCAGGCATCATACCGGGACGTGCGCATGTAGGTGCTCCCACCATCCTCGATTGGAATCAAGCTCCAGAAATGTTTACTTTGGTATCTATGCTACATTGACCGCCTATTGCAGTGCACCCGGGACTTTGTCGCGTCCTCCTGAACATTCACACTTCATGTCACGACAAACTTTATAACTCCTAGAGTTTTGAAGCTACAGCGATGAGACATATACCATTCGATTCGCAATTAAAATATCTAGCAATTCTCGAACCATTTTTTTATTTCATTTTAGTTTTGAAAATATTTTGAAATAAGAGGGAAAAATTTGTTGAAAAATCGAAGAATTTCAGAAAAATCATCATAACAAGAGAACCAAGGAAAAAATTGAAAATGTGTTTTGAGAATCGCTAGACATGGTCATTACGCATCGAATGATACGTGTCTTGATATAGCATATAATTTGCAAGTCATACATTTTTTTTAGAGTACCCCCTTTTTTGCCGTTTTCTATAAATTTCACATTTTCTGTCACTTTTTTCAAAAAATTCACACGAACAAAATAGTAATCATTTTTGGTTTTACATATGTGTACCAAGTTTGGAGATGATTATACCATATATATAGAAAATAGATTTTTGCCTACATGCTCCCCTTAAAGGATTCCTAATATATTCACAGACTTATTCGAAAGTCTCAAACCATATTACCATAATATTCTTCCTACACAAACAGTTAATCACTATTTGGTAGAGCAAGGCCAACCATCACCTTTGACATGTTTTTCAATGTTCTCACTGGGTGATGTGCACTGTCTCTTTGGATCTTAACATTTTCCCGCCAGACGGCCCTGACTTAGTGTTTTGGCAATTGTATGGCGCGCAATAGTATGACGTCACTATTTCAACCATCAACAAATGCGTGGAACCAAAAACAAAGCTTAATATAAAGGAAAAAGTTTAGAAGTGTCGGAATTACCCACGATGTCGGAATATACTGTGTTTACCTACCCCAAAATCTTAAATTTTACCCTAGAAACAGCAACAGTGAAATTTGTCTTTACTTAGTGGCAATTGAACATGTGATAACGCAGTCTGACTGCTCTGACCTGACTGCAACTATTAGATCTTCAACAAACATTTCGGGCTGACTCGTTACTCATACATTGTGCATTTCTTGGCAGTAATGTTGAAGTAGTGCAGATTGCGCAAGTTGAAATTTTATGAAATGACAATATTTTCAGTCAAACAAAAATACATGACTTTAGAGCTGAAGATTTCATACCTACTGACTGAAATTATATGATATTAGAGCCCCGATATTTTAGAAATAAGTAGGACTTGTCCAGACCTGGTTTGACTTGTATATGGAGGGATGCGAAGGTGGGACAGGGAAAAATGTGGAAAAACTTGCATTAGAAAAGAAATGGAACTCCGTACTCGCTGCAGTGAGTGACAGAGCGCACTTTTTCTTGTTGACAGAAATGTGAAGTCATGGACGGACAGACAGATGGATAGACAGACACGGCAAGCACAATAGCGCCTTTTTTCCTTGAATGAGAAAATGTGCTAAAAATGATGATGAAAATAAAAATTCATGATCAGCTAGATAATTATGTTACAAATCGAATGAAATGTGTGTCAATATTGTAGCACGTAAATTGCAAAAGTTTCAATATTTTTAAATTACTCCATTTTTTGCCATTCTCTATAAATTTCAAGTTTTCTTTCATTTCTTCCAAAAAATTTATATGTTATAAATGTTGGTATTTTTTATCTTATGTGTGTGAAATTTCAGAGAGATCAGTAGATAAATGTTCAAGTTTTTTCTAAAACCAAGCTGGTCTCCTTAAAAATTTCTTTCACTTGATGTAGAGTAGACTAGGATTAGAATTTTCCTACTTATTAGTGAAATTCTGTGGCTCCAAAGTCACAAATTTTCAATTTTTTTTTTCAATCTCACACTTCAATTCTGAACTTTTTTCAAAAAAAAAAATATATATATATAGTCACATGGGGGAAGACAGGACCAAAATCACTAACAAGCATGTAGCACCTATACCATGGCTAAATGAAAAACCTTGAACCTACCAAATGGTATGTTGGTGCAATGAACTTCTATCCCCCAACTTGGACTTTTTTAAAATTGAACCCTTTTTTTGTACAAAGCAATAAAAGTGGGCTGGTCCCATCTTACCCCACTGGGGTAAGATGAGACCAGGTTGGGGTAAGACAGGACCAGCCTCTATTTTGAAGATTTTTAGGTTTTAAATCAAATTAATGACTTGATATTTAATATTATTCATCTAGAAACATATTCGATAATGAAACAACAAAGAAATTAATCTTTTTAAATAAAAAAATTATGCTTACAGATTATTATGATTTACTGCAGGCCTTGTGTCTGCCACCATATACATGTATTTCATTACAAAGTCCTTCAGTCAGTCCCATTACCAAGTCCATGGTTGTTGGTCTAATCTTGGCGCAACCTTTTTTCTTTGATTTTTTGAAGAATGGCTGTTGCCTCTACATCAGGAAACTGAAAAATTCATTTATAAAATTTGGGCATACTGGGCCAAACAGCACATGTACAATGCTTATAATTTGTATCTCCTGCCTTCTGCTGTCCCAGGTCCAGCTAGAAATGCTAGATGGGTCACTTGTTATTGTTTTCTTTTGTTGTATTGTTTTGTTTATTATTGTTTAAAATGTATAGCTCTTGATTCCTGACAAAAGGAAGGTGATGAGTAACACTGCATGCATATATTAGCCCTGTTTTGGCCTTCACAAAGTTACTTTATGAAAATAAAAATTTGTTATTTTGAGCAGCAGATAAAAATTTGTTTTTAATACTTCCTATATACATATGTCTGTTGAATAATTTTAATGTATGCAGCAAGATAGGACCATTTGGGGGTAAGACAGGAGTCACAGGACCAACAGTGGGATGAAACTGAACCATTTGGTGGTCCCATCTTACCCCCATATCCAGTCCTTTTTTACCCCATTTTAGAATGCACATCAGGCAGTAAGGGTAACTGGTAGGAATGTCTGGTATGGCTCAAAAGGTACGGTACTTCTTACTTGAGGTTACCTGCATACATCCACAAACCTGGCAAAAAAATATAATGTCATTAGACAGAGCTTATTCCCCAAATAAGGTTAACTATTTTCTGAAATATCTCCACATAGGTTTTTTAAAAAAATTGCCTAGAATTCATTATTTGCAGTACATTGTTGAAACAAACACTGAAATGACAGGAAATAGTTGCTCTAACAGATTCTTCTGTCAAATTGAACTCAGTGCAATCAGTATGCATGCCATAGGCCGGTCCTTTCTTACCCCATGAAGGCTGGGATCCCATCTTACCCCATCTGACTATAATTAATACAACAGGAATCTTGCTCCTCCACAAAATGTTAGGAAAGTTCTAGTGGCATTGTAGCAAAGCAGTGACTTTTGAGTCTTACAAATGTACCAGTAAAGTATCATTATGATTGTAGTGCAGTGGTTAATGCTACTGTATGGGCAGAGATAGTGGCACCAAGATCAAGACATGAGGTGCAAATCGTGGATTTGACACTTGGGAAGCTCAGTTTATATCTCTGTGTTGCTAGTGGGCTATTGCTTGGGGGTCTTGATGTCAAAAAAAGGTGGTGCTTTTGGCATGGCTTTGGGTCCTTGGGTTGGTGCCATTAACTATAGGTATATTATACCTAGGGAAACTTGAGATCTTGGGTGTTATCAATGTATGGGCCTAGGTGCCCTTTTGACTGGCATAATAATGCCAAAAACCCTGGTCCAGAAAAAAATGACACTTAACAATACAGTAATCAATTAAAAAATATATTTATGGCTTGCAAAATAGCTGCCATATTATATTAAAATGTTTTGCTGTTTTTCATGAAATGGTATTCTGTAATATCACTCTGATAGGACCTAAAATCAAAAAAATATAACTTGGTACTCATACTCACTGCAGTCAATAACAGGGAGCGCACAACAGACAGCCAGAAGGATATGATGAGCACAATAGGGAATTTTTTCATAAATGAGAAATGTGCTAAAAACAACCTAATTTTTTTCTGACTGATGTGATATAGAAGATTGAAACATTTTCTGTGATGGTCTTTTAATTTAGATGTTTCCTTGAATCTGTAGGATTTGAGCAGCAGCACGGGAAGCGACCCCATTAACAGCATGGCATCTCAGCAAGATGAAACAAGTGCTGATCGCAATGTGGAGATCTGGAAAATTAAAAAACTGATCAAAAGTTTGGAGATGGCCAGAGGGTGAGAGACATTCTACTCAATACTGTTATTAACTTTGCTATGTAATTAATTGAATCATGAGGCAGTTGAAATAAGTTTACCTAATTTGAGATTAATGTACCATTTAACACCGAGCTTTATACCCAAATGTTCTTTTTATGTTAAGTTTACCAAATCAAGAACTCATTTTTCTGATGAAGAACTTGTTAATGAATTGTTAGATTCCATTCAAATGTTCGTAACACTGTGAGAAGAAGTGAAAGATTGTATATAACTGTAAACTCTAAAGTTAGAGAGTTTAATGTAAATTTGTATTCATGAAAAATATTTTGATTGGATGTAACTGAAAACAGAAAGTTAATGCATAGTTCGTTTTTTGTTACAAATTTATGTCATAGTAGTTGTGAGGTTTACATCCCAGTTGAATAAGTTTCCATGACATACCTCAACAACAATGCCTCAATGCCAACAAAGCAACAATGGCTCAATTATATATGTATATAATTACAAACATGTCAGGAATATTTTCTAAGCTTTTTGTCCCCCAGAATTGTTGATTGGAATTTAAAGATCAACATTTCAGACAGCTTGCCTCATGAAGCTTAATATTTCATATTTCCCAGGAATGGCACATCCATGATCTCCTTGATCATTCCACCAAAAGATCAGATAGCAAGAGTCAGCAAAATGTTGGCTGATGAGTTTGGAACTGCAAGCAACATCAAGTCTCGTGTCAACAGACTCTCAGTTCTCTCTGCGATCACATCTGTACAACAGAGATTAAAACTCTACACTAAAGGTAGGACTCAGCTCTCTTTTAATTTTCCTCAATTCATTTTCAATTTTTCAATCTCCTAAACATTTTGTTTCGTCTTAGTGTTGAATTTTTGAAGATTTTAGTGTTGATTGTAATGCTTTTGAGCTGAAGGTTCACTTCTCAGATTTAAACTTTCTCACTGCTTGCATTCAATAGCCATATAATGTTTGTTATTCAAGTAAATCTCTATACTGAAAGCATAGTTTTATTTATAGGAAATGACCCATTGAGTGAACTAAGCAAATTTCTTTTATGATTCTAATGTGCTTCTTCCCTTTTTGTCTTTTGGCAGTTCCCCCAAACGGTCTGGTAATTTATTGTGGTACAATTATGACAGAAGAAGGAAAGGAGAAGAAAGTAAACATAGATTTTGAGCCCTTCAAACCCATCAACACATCTTTGTATTTATGTGACAACAAGGTGAGATGACATTCAGTGCTAAGCTTTTACTAAGACGAGAGCAGTTGATGCCAACTGGTAACAATGATCTACTCTTTGAGCTACTTCTAGAGAATGTAATTATACTTTTCTTGTGCCCAATGTGCTTTATGATATTACAGATCACATCACAGCATATTTTCAAGATGTTCATATGAAACTACCTATTATAATGGTATGAAATGGAAGTATGCAGCTGCAGTGCAAGTAATTTTACTGTGATAATATTTTGAATATAGGAGTTATGAGACTGACATTTATGACCCAAAATCTGTTGACTGCTGAGTTGCCTCTGCATGGATGCAGCTGTAAAATGACATTGCACAAGCACAACTCAGTTTATTGAATGAACTCTATTGATGAGAATATGTACGAGTGCTCTAAGTAGGCGTGAATCAACAATAAATCTTACATCTCTAATCCTATAACAACAATTTTTAATAAACATCAATAAAAATCAAAACTCTTTCCATAATGTTAAGAATTTTCTGAAAATCAAATTGTAATCCTTTGCTTTCTTTGATTTTCATGAAGAATTATGCTAACAAAGTTTCGTTGCAGTTCCATACTGAAGCGCTATCGGCGCTGCTAGCGGACGACAACAAGTTTGGCTTCATCGTGATGGACGGTAATGGCGCGTTGTTTGGCACCCTGCAAGGCAACACTCGTGAAGTGCTCCATAAGTTCACTGTGGATTTGCCAAAGAAGCACGGTACGTTCCATGACGGTTTTGCAGACCTTTGGTTAATCTTGATACAGAGCTCTTGCACTGTAAGATTTTTCATCATTTTCCAATTTTGTACAGTGGTTGTTATGAAATATTGAATAATTATGAAGAATGTGAGACACATAGGATTTAAAGAGATATCCATAAGCTGATGCTCGTGTGAAGGTGTGTTTCTATTTTGGGGTCAAGTAATAATCAAATACTCTAAATCTAAATAGCAGTGTTAGGCATCTTTTTCTTCGTTCTTCAACTCTACCTCGTTTTGCAGCATTCGTTTTCCGAAATGAGTGCAAAATTACTCCTAAATATCGCGCAGCTTTACTTATTCTTTATTACATGCTTTTATATCCTTAACCAACCAGGTCGAGGTGGTCAGTCAGCTCTACGTTTTGCAAGGTTAAGGATGGAGAAGCGACACAACTACGTCAGAAAGGTGAAATTTGCATGAAATTCGTGTGTTTTATGCATAGTCTTAATGTTTAAAGAAAAACGTATTATCCATAATTGTTTTCAAGGATGTCGGGTCCTGTGTATACCTATAGTTTTGAATTCACATGATGATTATTCAAACTGACCTGACAACTTCCAACGAAGCTTAAACATTGCTAGCCAATGCTGTAAAATGTAAAAAAAACTGCATGTGTATACCTTGACATTTCAATCAGTAAACACTGAATATGGTATCAGAGCTTGAATTTATACATATTTTCCGCAGGTTGCAGAGACGGCAGTTACGCTCTTCATTATGAACGATAAACCCAACGTCGCGGGTCTCGTGCTTGCAGGTTCTGCTGACTTCAAAACCGAGCTATCCCAGTCTGACATGTTCGATCCGGTCAGTGTGTGACTTTATATATGAAACGCCGCCGTTTATTTTGCCTTCAATCCATTCCATTTTATACTTTCGTGGATTACTGAAATGAAAACAATGTATTATCAAAAGATTTTGAAGTGGTGTAATTCTATTCTTCGTTGCTGTATAATCAAAGGAAATCGTATCACCAGGAAGTTAACTCTGCGTTTCTTTGAGATTGTGTTCAATGAGTTGACGTGCCAAGGAGACATTGGCATAGGAACAGATGAATTATTAGAATATCAGTCACACTTGAGGCCGTACATGGTTCTTGAATCTTCAAGACCTAGAAGCTAGAGCTAGACGATATAATGTGTAACGCGATGTACGTTATATAACGTATAAGCGCGTCTTATGGCTTCCTGAGGCTCCTAACACAATTTTCAAAAGAATATCGATACAGATGCTCCTGCACCGCCTTTACCCTATAGTTTTGATGGTGAAATGTACGAGTTTTGGGGGCCGTGAACTGCATGTATTGGTTTAATTCGTACCCCAGTAGCTCACGTATCTTACTCATTGCCGTTAGATTATTCAACTCGAATAACTTCTTGTTTTCAGAGGTTACAAACTAAAGTTATTAAACTGGTGGACGTATCTTACGGTGGTGAGAATGGCTTCAATCAGGCCATTGAACTCGCCGCTGAGTCTCTGGCCAATGTCAAATTTATCCAAGAGAAAAGGCTCATTGGTGAGTTGCTCGCTCCTATTTAGTCTCAATCAAGTCGATTAATTTTTTAAAGGTCGATATTCCCATTGCAATAATTATTTGGTCTAATTGAAGTATGACGTAATTTGCATTTGTTGTTCTTCAACTAATTTAATTGTTTGTAGGGAAATAAGTTGTCAAAATGTCCATTTCGCGTTTTTTTAGTCAATAGCTGTTATTTATCAAATTTGTACAGATGGATTTTGTTACTTAACTCTTTATCCTTGAAGAAATGCGTTAGGCGCGAGAAATATTTTTAGATGACCATATAGTTAAGGCGTTACCAGATTTTCTTATTCATGTTCAGGTCGTTACTTCGAAGAGATCAGCCAAGATACGGGCAAATATTGCTTCGGTGTTGTAGACACGCTCAAAGCACTTGAATGCGGCAGTGTTGAGACTCTCATCTGTTGGGAAAATCTCGACATTATTCGTTTTGTGCTCAAGAACCATCAGACGGGCGAAGACACCATCCTACATCTAACTCCTGAGCAGGAAAAAGACAAGACGCACTTCACTGACAAGGCCGTACGTACTTTATTTCATATTCAAATCGATACCTATATATATCCTGTATCAAAATTCCCTTGAGTTCACATTGAATCTATTTGACCAACATTTGACGCTTTTTTTGGTTGAACAGCATTCAAAGTACTATGTACTATTTATAGTTGAACTCTTGGAGAGAGTCTTAGAAGTAAGAAGTTTAGTCTAAAAATATTGTCCATGGGCCCAAAATGTTTCAAATCGTTATAGTCTCGATGTATCTTGCACCGTGGTCTTATAATTAGGGTATTTTTCCTCACCAGTGAAGCGGTTTTTAAACTGAGGTCGTAAATATAAGCATAAAATGTTATTTACAGACTGGAGTGGAGTTTGAACTCGTCGAGTCCATGCCACTGCTCGAGTGGTTAGCCAACAACTACAAGAACTTTGGATCAACTTTGGAGATCATCACTGACCGCTCGCAAGAGGGATCTCAGTATGTCAGAGGCTTTGGTGGCATTGGAGGTGAGATATAATTTTGTTAAAACATTGTGTAAGTAATGTGTTTTTCTTATCTTACTATTTTCAGCTACTATCTAACTTCAATTAGTTGAAGTTATTGTATTACTTATTCTTCATAGTCAAAATACTGTTTTGGAAATGGAACCATGCGCTACTCAAATCAATTTACAAGAATTCTTTACTTTATTAGGAGGAAGATTGCTAAAATCGCAAATTTCTATGGAGATTTTGATTTCAGCAAGTTTAATTTCGAAAATAATTTCAATTTTTACTTCAAGTTATGTAGTCTTATTGTTATTACAACATAAACGCCTAGCAGGGATTCAACTTAGATGCGAACTTTGGTTCAACATTGATATGCACTTCAGTATAGCTTTCTGTACGGTGTTACTGACGATTCCTGCGTGCAATGACTTCAAAATTTCAGGTAGAACGTTATATACTGGAGAGATGATGCGTGTTCCATAGATACAGCGCTGCAGTACTCTTGTTATGGATATTCCCCAGTATTTGAAGGAAGGTCTTGGTTTCAGTTATCTATAAAATAGTTCAGTTTTTACCACGTTTTTCTTAGCTCGCTTTCGTGTCTGTCTGTCTGTGATGATCAAATCTTGCAATCGATATTTCATCAACTTTCCCACTAGCTAGCGTTCTGAAACTTTTAGGGAAGCTCAGCTCCCGATAACAATACAGTTATCAATAATTATGCGCCCCACGTTTTTCGTTTTAGATGTTGTAAAATATTTTAACTGAAATACAAAAGACCAAGAGAATGAAATCAAACGGAGATCAGTAGCTGCCGAAAAATTATTTTCTACTTTTTAGTCCACATGAAAAACGTGGTCTTTAAAATTTTTTTTTATACATGTTATATAGGCTGTAAACTGCCGATGATATATATCAGGTGAAAAAAAGTTTCCTGCATTTGGACCTTCCGGAAGTTGCACGTTAATCACGCATAGTAATGCCCGTTTATTTGTGAACTGGTATATTTAGTATCTTTCGTTGTTATTTTCCACATTCGTCTCAAATCAAATATTTTTTAACCAAATAATATGGCAATGAAATATTTTTCCCTTCGTAATTTTTCGGCGGACTCTTGTACAAAGAGTTGATACATTGGTTTGCCTTACCTTCCACTGAAGGTATTCTGCGGTACAAGCTGGATCTGCAGTGCCTTGAAGAAGAGCAGGTGGCCGACTTCGACAATATTGATTTGGATGATTACCTTTAGGTAGTTTGATTGACTGGTGTGATCAACAAATCAGATTGGCTGGTGTGATATATACTCACTAACAAATAAACCGACCCCGATTGCTTGAGTTCGTAGTGAAAGTTTGGCGTGCTTTTCCTAACACAGCAATTGAATTCGTTGAGCTTTCCAGGACTTGTGTGATGTGTTGACATCTTATTTCAGGGTGCCAAAGTTCCCCACAATAGACCCCGTAGCAGGTGCTTACTTCTAGTCAGCTCTGAAGTGAGCTAGTGATAACAGTTGAACATGGCCAATCATTTATGACAGCTGGACTTGGACAATCTAAACCGTTTCATATCAAGTCTTGGACGAAGTTGAGCACCGATTAAAATAATTTTTATCCTGCACATCGTGGCACTTCAGAATTATGGACCATTTTCCACAAATTTTTAGTTCAATCATCCAAGATTTTGAACGTGTTACATGATCGCACCAAACAATGCGCATCTTTTTTTTACCATCACATCTTTAAACCATTACTATTAGTACATTGTTTCCATTTATCTGATGGAAAAGAGATGTTGAACTTCAATTACTAAAATTAGTTGATGTTCACACTGTTCAGCCCTGACGGCCGCGAGTTTTTAGCAGTGTCTTCTAATTATAGTTTGTTGTGTTATTAAGGCGTAACACTGTAAAAGATTAGGCTAAATATATCAGCTTGCTGCCGCCGCCGCCTCCTTCCTAGAAAGAAATTAATTGGGATGCTTGGACAGAATTTCGACATGAGCATTTTGTGTTATTGACTCGTATATGATTTCACATTGGGTTCACAAAGATTCACTTTCTACAATACGATATAATTTTGTAATGAATCTTTTATTTTCAGTTTGCGCATCTCACAGATTTTTTGAATAAAATGAATTATATATATGGTTGGTAATCGGCGTTCTTATGATTGTTGTTTTACAGGTATCCTACGGTATAAATTAGACTTGCAACAGCTCACAGACCTTGAGGAAGACTTCAACGACATTGATCTGGACGACTACATGTAAATGGCTGGCCGCTGCTGGTGTCTAGCGAACTCAGACGCTCACTTTCTGAGCTTGAGCGGTTGTGAACGCCGGATGCGAGACGCTTTGTGCCTCTCGTGTTATGCCGTAACCTCCGAGGAACGTGTCTTGCTGCTGCTCATGTTGGTCACTGTGGATTGTGGAAGGGTGACATCTTTAGGATGTATAGGAACATCCTATTGTCACTGATGTTGCTTCGTTACCGGCCCTCCCTACTTCGTCAGCTTCCACCAAGAGTGTTGTCGTTTGGTCGTCTATTTTTTGCCTGTCAGACCTTGCGACCTATTTCGCTTTTTCGATTTGAAGCAGATTTTTTGTCTTTGTTTAACAAGTTTGAAATAAACAGTTGGTTCTCAAATTGGTCGTCTAATATGCAGGTAGATTGAATAAGATTTTTAAGATCGACACGAGACGACTTACGATGACTTCTAGGCGATAGGCTCTTTGTGAGCAGGTAGGTGCCGGTGACACTGAAACATTTCATTTTAATCGGCGAGTTTCATAGCTTGGAGCTTGAACGATCTAATATCTCACATTTAAATGGCTCATTTTTTTAGAATTTTTTTTGTAACTCAGTTTCTTGGGTTGATATCTCCAACCTTCTTATTTTGTCACTGTTGTGCTATTCTAATTTACATGCGCGTTTCTCAGACGTTAGCCGATTGCCTCCACTGGAAGTGGTGTTGCTGGGAAGCTCTACGTGTTTTCTTGTGCATAACGAGCGATGGCCTCTATGAACATGAATTCCAAGTTGACTTCTCCTATGGCAGAAGGATGTGAATACAACGATGGAGGGCATCCCTCGCTTTTAATTGGTTGTTGCTCCGTAGATTTTTCGGTCTCGGCGACGTTGCTCCCTTGGAGGCAAATAGACTTAAGTCTGAGCCCGCATACCGACCACAATTTTCATTACTTTCACTACCATCTGATATTGAATTTCTTTATTTAAACCATTTTTATTCGATTATTCTGATTTTCAAGAAACTTTATTAATAGTTTTTTGGTTTCTTTATTGGGCTCCGTTATTAAATGTAGATAACACACCCGATTTATTATTTTTTCGAACGTCGTGCACTATACTCAAATCTTATAGCGTGCTGTGTATGTTGGGCAGTGGTAAACGTTTTCTTTTTGGTTCATGGTTAATAAATGTGTACTACTCAAGTCACAGATAATACTTTCCGTTCTCGTCTCTCCTAGTAGAACTGGAGAAAGAAATAATGCTGGAAATCATTTGATGATGAACTTGACCTTCGATTCGAAATTTAACTATTATTTCAGCGATTTTGTGAATTCTGTGTATAACGTAGTTTTCAAATGCACTGCAACTGTATACGCTGTTCTTGCGTGCTACCGTGTCATTCTATCGAGATTTCATAATTTATTTAAATAATTCTTACTTTAGCGCCACTGCGCCTAAACAGAGGGCAGACAATTCATAACTCTAATACCAACAGTGGTGTTTAGTGTTTGCACCAGGAAATGTACATTCTCTTAGCATTTTCTGTACATCTATCTGCTTGCCCACAGCTCAGGTGGAAGTGCATTAATGATTGAATTCTAGCTCCTTACTTGTTGATGGGCTTCTGACCTTGCGACGTTTCGGTGTTGGAATGTTTTCGGCCTTTCTGTTTGTTCGGCCTCGTATCTTGATGAGTAGCAAGCGTTTCAAAATTACTTAATTGATGAAACTTTGCGAAATTAAATTTTGTTATTTCTGAACGCTATGTGTTATCACCGTGTGTTATTTAATTTAATATTTATAGTATTGGCTCCTAGCATTTTGCGCCAACTTTACCTTTATAAATTTAGTTATGGGGTTTTTGGAAGCAGGTCTACCATTGTTACGAGCGATGTTTTATAACGAAGTTTTCTTCCTGGTGAATCGAGATACGAACGCGACCATCTAGCTTCCTAGATGGTAAATGCTTAGTAGTTAACCACATTATCAATTGTTAGCAGACCTTGGGGGTGGTTGTAGATTTATGTAAATAATGTTGAATGGCATCAGCTCCGACTTAACTTGTTGCAATTCATATCCGATTGCTCAGCGGGAGTGAATTCTGGATAGAAATACCAACTTTTGTAAGTACGGTCTGAGTGCTCTGATATAGAGAATTCTGGATAAGAGTGCTAATTTCGCATGCATCTTGGGGTTTGTTCCTTCTTCATTTCATGCACAGTTCATTCATTATCTTCTCGCATGATTTGACATGATAAATTTTTTTGGCAATGAGACTTGATTGTGGGGCCGTGTCAAGATATGATATCAAATGGGTCTGATTGCTGATCCTTGAGGATAGCCCGTGCTGTAGTTGCTAGCTCGGCGGACTCGAGGACTGCCTGTCATTGCTGACAACGGCTTCTAATTTCAACATTTATATGAAATAATTTTAATAAAACTATCATGAACGAAGTTGTTTTTTTTCGTGTTAATCGGGAATTTCTACTTTTGATGCTTGATTGACTCCAATGTCGAATTTGAGCATCTGCCTGGTTTTTGTGAAAAAATCAAAAAGGTGAAGACGTGGAGTATGCTCGTTAAAAATGTCTACATTTAAATATTCGAGGATCTGATGAAGTATAAACGTTTCTAATCGATTGTATGTAATGTTTGTATTCCTGTGGTTTACTCACAACTTTATTTCCGCAAGGACGGACTTCTCATCCGAGTTCAAGGGAAAAATCCCATGGTAAATATTATTCTTGCACAGAGTCTCATCGAATTACGACGGAAATGGAAAATTATGTATTTGTTCGTTGGTATTTGTTGTCTCCTGGTTTTGCAATTTAGTGGCTCCTCTTCCAAGATTTTCAGGTTTATTAGTCTACTTATACTTATAAGGTATAGGACTCACTGACTCAGAAATGAACCTCTGGTCTTTGGAACTTGGAGTTGGAAGGGCAACAAAAAAATGTTCTTTGATGATTTGATCTTTGCCACAATTCATACTAGGGTAAACGCGGTATATTCCGACATCGTGGCCGCGGGTAATTCCAACACTTGTCAACTTTTTTCCTTTATAGCCTATTAAGCTTTGTCTTAGTTCCACCGTTCCACGCATTCGTTGATGCCTGATGGTTGAAATAGTGACCTTATACTATTGCGCACCATTGCGGCACCAATCACCATACTATTGAAAAAACACTAGGTCTGACCGTCTGGGCTGCATACCTAGTGGCAAAGCAGAGAGTTTTTTAGACTCCCACAAGTTCAATTTTGATTACTATAAGTACCTAGACCAGTAAACTTGAGTAAAGTATCATGGATACCAGCATTATCATACATAAGAAATTGGTTTAAATATTGAGTAATTGAGGAAATTAAAAATGCACTGATTCTAAAAAATCTCTGGTTTGCCACTACATAGTGACAAACCAGAGATTTTTTAGAATCAGTTCATTTTTAATTTCCTCCTGTACTCAAGATTTAAACCACTTTCTTATGCATGAGAATGCTGGTATCCAGGATACTTTGCTGGTCTACTTATAGGACTCAAAAGTGAACTTGAGGAAGTTGAGGGAGAGTCTAAAAAACTTGCTGCTTTGCCACTATGTGCCACTATGCTGGGCTGTCTGGCAGGAAAATGTTAAGATCCAAAGAGAAACAGTGCACGTCACCCAGTAGGGTAAACGCGGTATATTCCGACATCGTAGGTAATTCCGTCACCTCTCCAGCTTTTCCTTTATATTGAGCTTTGTTTTAGTTCCATGCGTTCATTGATGGTTGAAATGGTGATGTTAAATTTGAAGCGCTGACGCAATACAACTCACCACGTGTCGGATGTTGCCACACAAAGTGACGGAATATAGGGATTTGGTAGGTTTCCATTCTAAAGGCTTTTTAATAAATATGGCAACATTTTGTGACGTTTCATCGTTGCTGACGCTTAGTGAAGTGTTTTGAGAGTCATGTGAAGGTAACAGAACTTACGTAATGCATACGGTTTTTTTTATAGTTTTTCATTTCTCAATGCGTCCTTAATGTGTCGGAATATACCGCGTTTACCCTACCAAGTGAGAACATCAAAAAACGTGTCAAAGTTGATAGTTGACCTTGCTCTACCAAATAGTGATAAACTGTTTGTGTAGAAAGAATATTATGGTTTGAGACTTTCAAATAAGTCTGTCAGTCTGTGAATAGGAATCCTATAAGTATACTTGTATTTGCTGATTTCAAGTGGTAAATAAATTAATAGATGATTAAGTAAAGAGACAGTTTTAGTCACAGAAACTAATTCTGACACAGCTTGGAAATTTGGAATTATACTTACACAGCTTGTTCTGAGGCTGAGCTGTGTGCAAAAATTAAAATTTTCCTAATTAAAAGCTTAATAGCTCTTGATTAAAAGCCTACTTAAGTAGTGTTCAATATTCAATAGTGTTCTAATTCCAAGCTGTGTCGTATTCCAATACAGCTCACACAGCGATTGGAATTCGAACACAAGATCTTGTGTCGGAATTACAAATTAGGGTAAACACAGTATATTCCGACACATTAAGGACGCATCGAGAAATGAAAAACTATAAAAAAATAATCGTATGCGTTACTCAAGTTCTGTTTGCTTTATGTGACTCACAAAACACCACCGTACTACGCGCCAGCAACGATGAAACGTCACAAAATGTTGCCATATTTATTTAAAAGCCTTTAGAATGCAAACCTACCAAATCCCTATATTCCGACACTGTGTGTGGCAATATTTGGCACGTGGTGAGGCGTATTCTGTCCGCGCTTCAAATTCTACTGATACGTAATGCCGTCATCCACATGTTCAAATTCCGTTCGCTGTGTGAGCTGTATTGGAATACAACACGGCTTTGAATTAGAACACTGATGAATATTGAACACTACTTAATTCGCTTTTAATTACAAACTATTAAGCTTTTAATTAAGCAAATTTCAATTTTTGTACATAGCTTGGAGCAATCTGTGTGTGTCCAATTCAAGTTGTGACGGAATTAGTTTTCATGAGTCTAAATCCATTTCTCAACTTATACATCTATTAATTTATTTACCACTTAAAATCAGCGAATACAAGTATACTTAAAGGATTCCTAATAAATTCACAGACGTATTTAAAAGTCTCAAACCATAATATTCTTCCTATACAAACAGTTATTCACTATTTGGTAGAGCAAGGTCAACTGTCAAATTTGACACATTTTTCGATGATCTCACTGGGTAGCTTGCATTGTCTCTCTTTGGATCTCGATATTTTCCCGCTAGATGGCCAAGACCTAGTGTTTTGGCAGTAGTTCGATGCGCAAATGTATGAGGTCACCATTTCAACCATCAACGAACACATGGAACTAAAACAAAGCCTATTATAAAGGAAAAACTAGAGAGGTGACGGAATTCCCTACGACGTCGTAATATACAGCGTTTACCCTAGTAGAGTTTGAAGCGCGGCCAGAACCCAGAATTAGTCTCACAAAATGCCAAATTTAGTCACACACAGCGTCAGAATATATGGATTTGGTAGGTTTGCATTCTAAAGGCTTTTAAATAAATATGGCAACATTTTGTGACATTTCATTGTTGCTGGCGCGTAGTGCGGTGTTTTGAGAGTGATGTAAAGCAAATGGAACTCAAGTTGCGCATACAATGATTTTTTTATAGCCATTCATGTTTTGCTACGTCCTTAATAGTCGTTTACCCTACCTTTATTTCCTTCCCTTTACATTTACCTACCTAGCTGAGATTTTGAAACTAAATGATTTTGAAAGTTAACAGATGGATTGTTCATACTTTCTTACATGAAATAGTTGTATATGATATATCAACCACCATTTCTAGAATTGCACCCTCCCTGCCTGTTGCATGCTGCCAGCTGGCATCATCATCATGGCATGATGGCATTGGCAATTGGCTTCAGTGGGCAGTGGCATGCTGCCTGACAAAGACAATCTGACACTGAGTCCTGACATGCTGACAGTGAAATGAGTGACATGCTGACAGTGAAATGAGTGACATGCTGATGCAGACACAGAGCGAGTGTCAAACTGTCAATGACAGCTGTCTGCTGTGTCTGTGACAGGT